CTCCCCCAACTCCCACCCCCTCAAGAAAAATGACTAAAGATGGGCAGTGCCTCTGACTGCCGGTTTAACACTTTTTCCATCCCTGATATAGGTGGCACTCTCTGTTGTCCACAGACGTTGGTTACCATTCATAATACGCCTGAATGACTTCATAGGCTTTCTGGAATAGGCATTTTAAAATCTAATATTTTGCCATCAAAATATACTAAATACACAAAAGCTCTCATTATATTAGTTGTCGAACACACATTTAATCATCAATTAAAATTTATAAAAAATAGTAAGATACAACATCTTAATAATTACGTTAGGAATTGGGATCAATGAAGAAAATAGCGTCCGGTTGAATGCTTTTTGCAATGATAGCAACGGAGTAGTATCGCATGGTATCGTGACATAACACTGTTCTTTTCATAGACACCAATTGTAAAAAATTGCATATTCCATTGGACAGTTTAAATTTAGATTGTCATTTGAAATTCCTTCTCCCTCGGCCCTCAATTTTACAACTGATAATATATTTTTAATTATATTTAAGTCATCTTACAAACCATTTTAAAAGTTGTTTTTAAGAACATCAGGTTTCATATAAATCGTTATTGATGGATTCATACTTAAATGTAACTTTAACTATATTTAAATCATCTTAGAAACCATTTTTAAAGTTGTTTTTAAGAAAATCAGGTGTCATATTAATCATTTTTGATGGGTTGGTACTTAGATGTAACTTTACACTATAACCTCTTTGCAGTCCTTGACTTCTTCATGGGAATCCCAAAGCTGTAGTGAAGGCCTTCCTGGCATTTCAAGTATCTATAGTGCTATTGAATTCTGCCCTACTCAACCTGCTGTAAGGGAGCTTTAGTTGGTTGGTGGTGAAGCATGTGCTGCTTGGCAATGAGCTAGCCTAGGGACATTAATTTTCTTAGTAGCTTGGCACTTGTGTGTTTAAAAGCTGAAAACATTAGTCAAGTTTACCAAGGATTAGAACATTCAGGATTTAATGGTCATAATGGAAAGTGATGGATTATCATTCGGTGAAATAGTGACTGATTATTGGCTTATTTTTTTAGATGATTGATTATTGTATTCAAAGGTGATATTTCTTTTTTTGAATGGTGTTTGCATAGCTATGAGAATGATGATGATTGATTGTTATATATTTAGGATGATGATGATCAATTATAGATTTGTAAAGATGATAATTAGAATGCTGAATGATTGTAAATTTGAAATAATGATTGGTCATTGATTTGAAATGATGATTGATTATATTTATTGGAATGTTGAACAATTACAGTATACATTATACTCATTCAAATGTCAGTGTGGATGAGATGCAACATGATGTCAATTTATATTTTTCAAAACCAAACAAATCCAAAGTATTTTCTGGCTGGGTTAGTGGCACTCTTGAGGAGGGTATGGGCAAACTGAAAATGATTTAAAATTCCAAAGGAAAAGGACTTTATGACAAGGTGCTCACAGTTTTGCCGTGCACACACAGTGTAGTTACCACCTTGGGCCGACGGTTCCATCTCCACTTTAAGCGAGTGCTTGATAATACCACACTCTCCAATGATTATCAGGGCAATCGGAGAAAAGCGTAATTACAAACGATTTGTTGTGCCCCTCATGGCATTGCGTTCTCATGGAATTGCTTTGGACGATGGTTGGTGCAGTGTGTGCCAGTTTTTAGTGTCATAATATCACTAAAAATTACCAGGAGTGGATTATGATGTAATTATATAAATCTGATCAATTAATATAATCATTGTATTTTTGTCTTCTAGGAGCATTTGGTGGACGTGGCGGTGGTAGAGGCGGACGTGGTGGAGGACGAGGCGGTGGCCCTAACAGAGGTGGGGGACCAAGAAGATGAGGTCCTAAGTGGGTTCTGCAAAGACGGTGGTAGAAGATACATTATGTACATCATTTTATAAATAACTGAGAATTTAAGGATGTGCCATGTGCTTCACAAGCTCTCACAGAGGATGCAAGAAGAGGTTGCTGCATCATTGGTCGTTTGCCATCACATTAGCACAACCTCTCTAATTTCCATAGCATCTTGGTACCATTTTACTTTGTAAATTATATATTATTACTTTTTCATAAAGAAATCGTTCGAAAGTGGTTGTCTGTTTTGATACAGTACAAAAAAAAAACTTTACGTCTCAAAGAAAGTTTTAAAATCAATTTTTTAAAATAATGATTTCCTGTTACATGCAAAATTTTGTAAATTATTTGAAGAACGAGTTCCATAGAAATAATGCTATACCATTATAATGTAATATTTTCTATTAAAAAATATTGATCTTGTCTGGTATATTGTGTACTTTCAAAGGTTCACCAATCTCTTTTGAGCTCGAAAAGTAGAATTCAAAATTAATTTATTCATCAATGTATAAAATACATATATGAAATTTGTTTCTTATATTTAATATGTGTACGTAAACATTACCATTCCTATATTACACCTTATTGGCAGATAATTGATTATAATTCTTTTAATCAGCAGATTCTTTTATGCTTCATCTCATTGGAATTTATTTGATGTTTTTTTTAAATGAGTATTCAGTGTTCTAATTGATTTTTAATCAGTATTTTTAATGCATTTCTCAGTTTTACATTTTTATACATTTTCATTAAATTTCTTTAAAAATTATTCAGTCATAAAATTGGAAATTCAGATGTCTTTGTTAACACTTAAAGAAGTACGAGACACAAACATATTTAATAGCCATTGCTCCTGTAGGGCGAGTCAAGTGATCTGAGCATAATGCAGAGTACCACTAACTAAAGCCTTCAAGTCGTTCCTCCCAATGGTTCGGTTAATAGAACCAAGTCTTCTCGGATAAGGACTTAAAATGGAGGTCCAGTGTACACATCTGGCTTGTGTGCACTTTAAAAAACCTGTTGCATCTTGTAGGCAGTGTAGGGGGTTGCCCTGATAATATGGTTCATTTCAGCTACTATATGCAATTCAGCACAGTGATGCTCCAAGTTACGGTTATTCTCCTACCTTTACCTCTACTTAAAGCCAAGTTTCCAAAGAATCCCTACACAGTCACTACAGTGTTTTCAGCGCAATCGATGCACTGCATAGCAGTCCCCGACGCAATCAAGAAGACTCCACAATTCAACTGACCAATCAGCATCACCGAAAGCTTTCGGTGGTAGCGTGTAACGATTGTATGGAAACCAAGCTTTAGGATCATATCACATAAAAAAACAATAGAAAGATGATATTATCTTTTTGCATGTTTCATGGTGATTAGTCTTCTAATTATAGCATGATGGCGATAGTTTATTTCAAACAATTACATTGCGTGTACATCAATTGGTTTCTATAGTCACATTGATAAAAAAGAAATTGTTATCGGTTCAATATTCATTAGTTTTCATTTACTGTAATTGGTAATTCAAATAAAATATAATTCAGAAGAGTCTGATTTCTGCCACAAAGCAATTATGTCTGTTCATTATTGAATTTTTTATTGCATATTGTCAATTATCTTGCAATAATGATATAATAAATTGCAGGTCAAATCCTAAAGGCTTTTGACATATGGAATATAAAAAAATATAATGAGTTTTTATGTTAGTGTCCTGAATTGAGTCAGTCATACTAATGCTGTGGTCAAACTAATTCTTGCTATGGAAAGTAAAGCAGGCTCTATATAATTGATAAAGACGACAGCATGGTCTGCAGATACATGGGAAGAAATAAATACTCATGAAATGGATTAAAATATCTACTTCTACAACTATTAACTTTTTTTATTTAAAGGTCAGCTGGTAAATGTTTAGAACTGCCAATTTGTTTTTGTTCCCTCTCGAGATTGATTATCTCCCGAATGGAGGGGTCCGGCGATGGGCGTCTTGTGACCTAACTTGGGTGTTGGAAAACAATCCATTGGCACAGCGGTGTTTTACATGGAGATTGCATTGCGGCCATCCCTTGTTATTTCTGTAAAAATCGTCATAATTCCCAGTAAACTATACCAAACTGAGATTGAGATTTTTCGACAAATGTTAGACCTAGGCCCCTGCACGTCTACGGCACGATGGTCTTCGACCCACGAACTACGCTGCGATGTTAGGGCTAGCTAAGGTCTGGGTTTATGAAGTATCACTTAAATTTCAAAGCTTACAATCCTAGGAGAATGCTAGGATAAGCAAATAAATACTATTTTGAACAATCGTATTGCCTTTCCAGCCATTTATTTCTCATGTTAACTGTGGGAAGTTGTTTTCGCAACTATAACATTATCTTTTCCTATGCTATCGCACTAATGTTTTTCATATGTACTCAAGTTATATCACGTGACAGCCTCTAAACAAACATCGCTTCCCTCTACTCATTCAATTATATGTACATCATTCTGCTATATAATAATACCATGATGATACATAGCCTACACCAACTGGGATTCGAATCCAGGACTTCCTGTCTATTCAGACAGATTTTACCACTGGCCATTGATACTTTCGTTGGAAATCCAAATGGAGGGAAATAATTTCACACTCACAGTGCGGTATGCTGACTAGTATTCAAAGCTCACACATAAAGCATCTTCAAACGAGAGACAAGACAACTCTTCAGAGTTAATGACAAATGCTACGTAGAGATGAACCATAAATTGATACCGTATGCAGCAATGCTACAC